CCCATGCACTCTAGCACAGAGTATAAAATGATCTAGGAAATACCTAAATTGGAACACATCCTTTCCCCACGATGCAGCAATTCCATTCCCAAGTATTTACCTGGGAGCAGTGGAAGCATTTGTCCACAAAAGACCCGGAACGAGAAGTTTCATGGCAGCTTTCTCCACAGCCCCTGAACCCCGCCAACAAGACAAATGTCTCTCAATGGTATATAAACAATCATAATAGTCACACAACTGAATAGCGTTCGGCGAGAAAAAGGAATAAACTATTGAGTCACACCATAATAGCAATGGTCTCAAAACCACCGTGCTGAGCAAAACCAGCCAGACACAAGGGTACATGCTGTATGATTCCATCACATGGAAAGGCAAAGCTAATCTATGGTGATAGGAATCAGAACAGTGGTTGCCTGTGGGGGCTGGGGAGGAGGCAGTGATGGGGGAGGAGGCAGTGATGGGGAATGAGGGCCCTTCCAGGAGGAAAGGAAATGTCCTGGGTCTCGTTTCGAGTCGTGGTCACACAGGTACGGTGAATTGTCAAAAATCACTCAGCTGAAGACATGCAGTCTGCGCGATTTATTGTATCTTAATTAGACTTCAGTAAAACGCAGCTATGTCACAAAAAGGGAGAGACTGAAAAGAGCTTGTGAGAAAATTCAGGTGCCGGTCCCCATCATATACCCACCCCCCCGCCCCAGGCCCTGCAAAAGGAGCAGAGCGAATATTCCATTCTGTGCTGGGAGTGGGCAGGACTTGGTGGAAAACTGTTTTCGGTGTTTTCTGAAACTCGATGAACAGAGATGCCCCTTTGCGGGGCAAGGAGAAAACCCATGGGAAGGTTCTCACAGGACAAGACCTCTGCACCTGTGGACAGCCCCCCTCTGTCTCTTCACTGCCTTTCTCTCCTGCTGGGCAGCCTGGAGATGCTTGTTGTCACTATTTTTTTTTTTAAACAAACATTCTAGAGATAGTTACTATGTGCCAGGCCCTGGCTGACACCCTCTGGTCTCCGTCCTTACGTGAGAGAGAGTGACAAGTAAATTGGGTTGTCAGCACAGAGCAGGGGCCCCCGTACCCTGCGGGGTCAGGGCAAGCGTCCTCCTTGAGGGGCCATGTGAACGGCGGCCTTGGATGAGAAGGAGTGAGCCCAGTGACTGGAGGATGGGAGAAGTAGGGGAGGCAAGGTCAGAGGGTCCCAAGTTTCGGAGCACAGCAGAATCATCGGGCGACCTCCGAGAAGTCTCCATGCGTAGACCCCACCACTGACCGAAAGACTTGCCGTCTCTGGGGTGGGATTCGGGCATCATACTGTTTTTTAAGAACTCCCCAAGTGATTCCAATGTGCAGCCACGTTTGAGAACCAGTGTTCCAGATGGAGCGGACAGCGAGGGCAAAAGCCAAGAAAGAAGTCAGAGAGAGATGCCAGTGGATTTGGGAACCGAGGAGCAGAGAGTACGGGAAGTCAAGAAATGCAGCTGACGAGGTGCCCCAGGCTGAACGGAGCCCCGGCCAACACTCCCCAGCCTCAAACCTGACTGTATTTGGAAATAACGGTCTTTGAAGGTGTAAATAAGCTCAGGATGGAGGGCAGATCACGCAGGATCAGCGTGGACCCCAATCCCAATGAGAGTGTCCTTGTACAAGACCGAGCAGAGGGTCATGAGAGCAGGAGGCAGAGACTGGAGTGATGCCCCCACAAGCCGACGGGTGTAAGACTGCTGGCCCCACCACACGCAGCTGGGAGAGGGGCCTGGAACATTCCCCTGCAGAGCCTCCAGAAGGAACAATTCGGCTGACACCTGGATTCTGGGCTCTGGCCTCCGGAACTGTGAGACAACAGATGTCTGTCATTCCGAGCCTCCCCGTCGGAGGCACCTGGTCAATGCCAGCCCTGGGAAAGTCCTACAAGAGGGACGCAAGGGCTCAAGCACCCCAAGAAAGTAGCACTGACGCTGAGAACATGGAGGAGCCTTGAGGAAAGGAGAACTGCCCCATCTCTGGGCTCCGGAGGAGGAAAGGCCCTGCAGCTGCAAGCCAGGTGTGGGGTGTGTCGTCGGGGAAGACGGGGGTGCCCTCTGGCCTCTCCCGTGTGCCCGGAGAAGCGGGAGGTGCGGTTGTGGGTTGTCATCAGCAGTGGGAAGGGGTGGGGGCGGCTTCCCGAGCCAGGAGCACTGGGGAAGCTGCAAAAATCATCTCTGCTGACAGTCAAGGGAGGGAACTAAGTATCTCCTTGGCAACACTGAAGGATCTTGTGGGAACAGGGAGGTAGCGTGGAAATACAAAGACATGGCTTGCCCGTCTACACGAAGGTGAGATTTGACCTCTGGCATGCTGACCTGTGAAGAAATGTAAGCAATCAACGTTTCTAGCAAATTAGTCCACTTTCCAAAGAGTGGCCTCCAGTACTTTGTTCAAGTTTTTGTTTTTGTTTTTGTTTTTGTTTCACTAGAATCTGAGAACTTACCCTTGATCCCCAATATACAAGCGGCACCCTCCAAAGTATAAGTAAGCTAGCCTTGCAAATAAGTACCAGCCCACTGAGTGTTTTTCCTCCCAACTCACCCTCCCCACGGGGTATATACTAAGTCAACCAGTCAATAAATACTTATCATACACATACTGTGTCCACACAGGCTATAGACTGTCAGTAAATATTTATTGAATTATCTCCCTAGGGATCATATAGTAAGTCCACTGGCCAATAAATATGTATAGAACTATCAGGCAGCAACCTAGGCAAACAGAACAAAAAGGGCATAAAAATGACAGAGGATTCCGAGTAGGAGAGAGAGAGCAACCAATTGGTGGTTCAGTCTGGTACTGCAAGAAATTGTGGTGTTCTAGAAACCTTAAGAAGGTATTTCACAGAACTAGAAAGCCGGAGACTCTGGCTCTGTTACCTACTGAGTAAAAATGAGTGAATCACTTTACCAAGAAAGTCTGTTTCCTTATCTGTCAAAAGGAGGTGGTTGAGTCAGCCAAACACAGAAAAAAGCTTATGTTCAAGATTCAAACAAGTTTATAACACCCTGAAGATCTTGCTGGAGGTGGATGTGGTTCAATGGTGATTCCTTAAAGTCTCAGATCAACAGGAGATACATTGACCCGAGCAACCCAAACATGGAGAGAAACAGGGGCTCTGGCACGTGGTCTGTCCTGAGGCCTCCTGTTCCCCACCTTGCTACAAACCACAGCCCCATCCTGTAGTGTGAGTCATTTGCCAGAAAGAGGAGACCTTATCTTCTCAAAATCCCCCAAATCACTGAGGAAGAGCCCAAGTTTCCTTCCCAAAACATCTCAAGATGTTCAAAAACAACAGCAGAGTGGGGCAGCGACCATGACTAGCACTCAGGGGCCAGGGGTGGGGTCTGCTGGGTAGAGGAGGGGAATTCCAATGTTTCTGAGATGATGTTTTTCAACACTTGTGTTCCCTTGTTGTCTGCTGTTGGGTCTTTCTCGTCTAACATCAGAGGACAGACTCACCACCACGTTCAGCCTGATCCACATCGTGACTCGTAAGGCTGGAAGAAATCATAGGGCCCCTTCATCTTTTTCCAAAGACCAACCAAGACCAAGTTCTGGCTTCTCTCCCAACGAGGGCCCACGCTCTCTCCTCATTGACTTTCAATCCTGAGGGCCAGTTTTCCTCAACCCTCTCTGCATAAGATGTTCTTGCGTTTGCTTTGCTCATTAATGTCTGATTAAGACTACCTCTGATTAATCAAAGCCACATGAAGATTTCCTCTGATCCACACAGTATTCTGAATTTGTTGCGGTTTTTTAAAAATCAGGAGATTTTTGGTTGGCCTTAGAAAGTCAGAGGATTTGGCCACGCCTGGCCTACATGCCCACATGGAAATACTGGCTGGGGTGATATAAAGGCAGTCCCTTTAGGTGGGGAATGTGTTGCCCTGCTCCCTGGTCTCCACCACTCCCTACTGCCGCCCACCAAGCCACTCCACTCCTCTACGGGACCTCCCTGGCCTCCGTAGGTAACGGATTTTTGTGACACAGACTTACGGTAAAATATTCAGTAAAAAGGAAAAAGAATCCTGAAACATAATTGAATACAGAACATGATTGTAACAACATAAAAAGTACTCTTAGAAGAAACTAAAAAATAATATAAACAGCTTTGGTTTCAGCAACATTGTTTACCTTTCTCTTCTTTATGCTCTGACAAGTGATTTGTGAAAACTCTCAAACTCAGAGCAGACAATAAGCTTTGCCATTGTCTAAAAGCAAAACCAACTACAAAACTTGCCTCAAGTACCCATGAACGAGCTCTAAGGGGCTTCTTCTTTCAAAGCCTGATGAGAATTGAGCCAGTTTCTGCTGGGGCCTGGGGCGGGGGGGAGGGCCCCGTCCACATGGCAGGTCTCGGCCACTGCATACTAGATCATTCTAAGATTCCTCTGCATCTTTGTTTGGGCATCTCTCCCTGTTCACATTCCAGGCCTGCTGGTACAAGTTAGCAACCCCTCAGCTCTCTCTGTCCCCCCTCTTCTACAAAATGCGCATCACAGCACCAGCCATTGCCCAAGACTGCCGCGAAGACTCCACGAGCTCTTGAGTGCTAGCGCTCAGCACTGTGGCCCGCAGAGACACCGTTCCAGAGGCGAGAGCCACTGGGATGCTCTCCCAATCGAAAGGAGAGGCAAGGAAAAGAGGTCACTGCGTACAGTAAACCCACTCCAACTGCATCTACCCTTTTTAAGACCAAAACATTTATACATTTCAAGCCTTCTAAACAAAGCTGTAGGCTACTCATTAGCTGTGTTATTTTTTAATTTCCTGTGAGACCACGAAACCTTCCACAAGTAAATAGAAGCAGAGAGAAATTGTTAAATGGGCTCTGTCTCTGGGCCCTTGGGTCCTCCTGGGCCCCCTGTGGACCCCTGTGAGTCCGGCGTATTCTCGCTGGGCACCTTGCCCCGGGTGGAAGGTCACATACAGTACACTCTGCAGAGGCCGACCCTGCCCAAAGCCCAACTTACAGCACTCGATGGGGTTAGACGCAGTCTGCAGGGAGACGATCCTCCCACTGGACTCTGGAATGTGCACTCGGAACACCAGCCGCACCCGTGTGTTCTTCCTGCCAATGTCCGTCTCGCCTTTCCGCAGCTCAATGTCGGCGTTCCGAAGCTTCAGGATCCCGGCACAATCAATGCTGCCAGGAGGTGGAGAACCCCATTTAGAACTGACCATCTCAGTGAAAAGAAAAGATCACCCACAAAACCACCTTACTCAGTTAACCAAAATAACTGTACTGCCAGCAACGGTGGGGGGGGGGGCGGTGCGGGGACTGCAATGCACTGATAAATAGTTCAGCCAGGAATTGAGGCCCAGCGGGAGGTCAAACACATACAAAGTCATGAGAGAAATTCCCCAGTGGAAATTACTTCTCTAGGGAGATTTTTTTGTATCGATTTTTCTACTCTCAAAAGTATCTGAAAAACTCAAAGATGTAACTGGTAAAATTGATTATAGACTGCTCAGTAGATGAGAGTGATGTATCAACATTAAGTATCTTTAATTTGATAAATGTACTGTGGTCACCAAAGAACACATTCTTGCTCTGAGGAAATGCACATTCAGGCATCTAAAAGTAAAAAAAGTCACTGTGTCTGCAACTAACTCTCAAACAGCTCAGGAAAGAGCAAAGAGTGAAGGTAGTAATAAAGCAAGTGTGGAAAATGTTCACGATTGGTAAATCGGAGTGAACAGTAGACAGGAGTTCTTTGTAAAATTTTCGTGGTTTAGAAGTTTGAGATTATTTTCTAATAAAGAGTTTGTTTTAACTCCAAAACATGGGTGCAACGTCTCCCAAACTTTAGCTATATGCCTGTTGCTTTGTGAGTTTTGACCTTTCTGTATCCTTATTTAATCATTTTCCATGTAAATAAATTTAGCCTCATCCCAAGTAACATAATCCAAAGACACACAGGTATTCTTCCTCCTGACACACATTAAAAGTACTTAGGTAGAGACCTTTTTCAACAAATCTCCAAGGGTCCATCACAGAGTGGGAACCACCATCCACGGTTCCTTCCGCCAACTCGAGAGAGTCCCCTGTCCCAAATCCCTGCCACTTGGCCCCACTCGTTTCCCCATAAAGACCCACCACCCTTGGCCCCCCGCCTTACGTCGCCCTCATGTTATTTTTTGGCTCTAGAGGGATCTCCAGGACTTTGGTGTTGCCCACGATCTTCTCGTAGCTGGTGGTGGTGACGGTTTTGCCCGTGATCCGGTGCACCTGGTAGAAGGCATGGGGCTTAAGGATCCGCTCATCAGCTGTCCCAATGAAGATCTGAAGCCCCAGGGGCTTGTTTTCCATGTAGCCGTGGAGCTGTGGGGGGGGGGGGAACAAAATCAAATTATCATAGCACATTTAGTATGCAGGGTGTTGGTGGGTGTAGTCCCACAAAGATCTGAGAAGCTCACGGGCAGCAGAAAGAGCACAGGATTGCTGCATCATCTGGGGGAATGGAGAACTGGAAGTAACCTTGACGTCCAACCAGAAGGACTGCTTCAATAAACTACAGAGATACTCTCTAAAATGGAATATTAAACAACCATTAGGAAGAATGTAGTAGATCAGAATTGCATTTATGAGGAAATAGCCAGAAACACCAGTGCTCAGTGTTGCCAGGAGGGTTGTGGGGAGAATGTCACATGAGGGTGAGGACAGAAAATAACCAGGAAAGATAAACCAGAGCTCTTGACAATGGTTGTCTGAGAAGATCAGAAGAAGGAACTTACACTTTTTTACATGACTGTATTCCAGCTAACAAGTTATATTTTTTAATTAAAAAAAAAAAAAAGAGCTAGGCAAAAGTACCATCATCTGAGTCAAAAGAAAATTAAAGACTGGAGGAAAATGTGTGCAACACAGAACAGGCAAATGATTAGTACACAGAATATATAAAGAACGCCTACAAAATTCCTGGCCATCCTATTTAAAATTGAATCTTACCCCCAGTGGGTAGGACTACCCTCTTCCTTCTCTATCTCCTTTCCTTCTTTTTATCCCATCTAATATTACTATATATTTCCTCAATTCCTCTTGCCTAGGTCTGTCTTTCGTTCTTTCTCTCTCGTACACATGCGCGTGCAAGGGAGAAGAGGGGCAGAGGGAGGGGGAGAGATAGAATCTTAAGCAGGCTCCATGCCCAGCACAGAGCCCAAGACAGGGCTCAATCTGATGACCCTGAGATCATGACATGAGCCAAAATCAAGAGTCAGACACTTAACCAACCAAAAAACCCACGTGCCCCAGGTCTTTCTCCTACAACTAGACTGTCACCTCTTCAAGGGCAGGCATGTCTATTTATTTTACTTGCCACAACATCCCTAGCACCTAGAATACTGCTTGGTTCATGGTAGGCATTCTGATACATGTTTGCTGAATGAATTAACAAAACTATCCAACAGAAAAACGAGCAAGAAATTTGAACAGGCAATTCACAGAAAAGCAAATGGCCATTGGCACGGAAAAGATGTTCAGTCTGACTTATAAACAGGAAAATGCAAATTACATAACTATGGGATACCATTTTTCACCTGTTCAATTGGCATGCATGTTGGTATTTGATAAAATCATGTGTTTTAGAGACTATAGGCACACAGGCACGCTCATGCGGTTCATAGGAACATAACCTGGTATAACTATTTTGTTAATATTTTTTTAAAGATTTTATTTTTGAGTAATCTATACCCAGTGTAGGGCTGGAACTCACAATCCCGAGATCAAGAGTTGCATACTCTACCAACTGAGCCAGCCAGCTGCCCCTTAAAGAGTATTATGTAGCAGCCATTAAAATTAAAACTACATATTCCCTCTGACCTGGTAATTCCATTTCTTACTACGTACCCTAAAAGAAATATTGTGCACTCAGGAGACATACACAAAAGTGTTTAATAAAACAAATGGAATAATAAACAATTAATTATAGCCATAGGCTTCTGAGTAATATGAAACATCCAGGCTATGAAATACTACAGCAATTAAAAAACAAAAACAAAAACAAATAAACAGTAGAGATCAATGAACTGACCCAGAAAGATCTCAGACTCACTATCGAAAGAGAAGACAACTAGCAGAAAAACATCTATCTCAAGATACAACTTATTTTTTTTAAATGCTGGATGTTTGGGGTCTATTCATTGATACAGATATAAACACAATAGGAAAAGGTGCAGAAGGCTGTACTCCAAAGTGACCATACCATGGTCACTTCTAGGGATGGAGGAGGAGATCAAGGTTAAGAAGGTGGTCAGAAAAGACTCTCACTTGATTCACAATGAATGAAGAATCGATGCCTAGACACTTTTGAGATGTAACACTGGTTTAATATATATAATAACAAAAGAAGCAGAGGACTAGGCTGAGACTTTGAAGACGGTGTCCTGTCTTGCCACTCCCCAGCCGAGAAACCCCTTCCTTGGCAAATCGCGAGGGGCTGTGACAGGTGACAGCTCCCTAAATCCTACCCTTCTCTGCAGGTCTACAGAACTAGGATCTCCAGCCAACTGCCAGAAAACAAAGACTCCAGGGCAATGGAGGATGACACAGAGTCTAGAACTCTCCTGGCCAGCACCATCAATACAAAAATTAAAGAAAATGGAAAATCCAGTTTCTCAGTCACGCTAGCCACATTCCAAGTGCTCAGAAGCCACAGATGGCGAGTGGCCACTGCCGTGGACAGCACAGGTACAGAACATTTCCATCATCAAGTTCTATTGGACAACACCCGTCCTGAGAGATGACATTCTCTCGTGCCCTTCTGAAAACCATACAGAGACAGGCTGGGAGCGGAGCGGAGCCAGATGGCACCTTTTTTTTAAAAAACCTGCCAGGCCGACACCCACAGCATTTACATGTCTGATACACACCCAAGAGATGCCCTGGGGCAAAGATGGAAATCCAAGTCAGAGCCTCTTATCTTTTCCCCCCAGGCAAAGTGAAGAACAGGGGACTGTTTCTCCTGCAAAAATCAAAGCGGGAAGGTCAGAGTTGAGATTTTGTTTTTGTTGGTTTTGCTTTGCATTTGGACCCAAGATAAATAGATGTCCTCACCTCCTCTCCTGGATGTACCAGGAGGTGGTAAACAGAGTTATCACACAGTGTAAAGTAGGCCAGATAGATAGTGAGCCCAGATTGTCTCAGGTTCTCTCCTCCTCCCCAGGACAGAAGAGCAGAAACTGCAGCCCAGCTGTACTCATGGTAAACAGCCAGGTGACACCTGAAGACGAAACTCATCACATCCCCTACGACTCTACCTGAATCCAGCCATTTCCATGTATTCCCCAGCACCACTGCCTCTCCCCGGACGGACCACCACTGCCCCCTCACTGGCCTCTTGCTGGCCTTTCACAGAAGAGCCCAATAACGTTTAAAAAAAAAAAAATGCAAATCAGACCCAGACACGCCCCTGCTTACAACTCTCCAAAGACTTCCTGTGGCCTTAGAATAAAATCCAGACTTGGTCCCAGGGTCTCTGAGGCTTCCACTAGCCCAGTGGCTCACTTCTCCCACCACCCCCATTAGGTACCTTCCAAAACCAACCAGTTGTCTATTCCCTGAGCACACGAAGCTCTCTCCAACCACAGGACATTTGCACAGCCCCATCCTCTGCTTAGAACGCTCCCCCACTGGTACATTTTGTCTTCAGATACCTTCCAGTCTTTCCCAAACCACACCCAATGCTGGAGCCAGCTTTTTGGCCTTGCAAGAGCCACTTGTTAAAGTTTTTAGAAATTTTAAGAGCCAGTTGGTGCCACTTTGGTAACCTGAAGTCAGCCACAGTGGGGACATTTATACCACAAAAATTGGCAAATGCTACACATTGGGGCTCTTTTTTTTCTCCAGAGAATCAGACATTTCACATTCTCGAGCACACCCCTGGCGTAGTGACTTCATTACCATCTAAATGTTGTTTCGTTGTTTGTTTGCTTAGCACCTCTCTCTCCCACCTAAACACAAGGTCCAAGAACCTTGGTAGCAGGAACCTTGTTGATTTTGCTCAGTGTGATGAATAAACATATTGCATTCATGGTCACCGGCAGCAGCAACGAAGTGCAGGCTTCCGGCAGGCGGAGCACCCCCTGAGGCTTGCCAAGGGCAGGCGACCCGTTAACATGGCTAGGATAGGGCCGAGTTAGGATGTGCTTTCCGGACTACAGGTCAGAAATGCAGATCAGGCCCTCAAAGGAAAAAGGAGTAAGTGTTCAATGGTGAGATGAAGCATGTTCTTCCTGCTCTACAGCGGGTTGGGGGGGGAGCAGGAGGGGGAGGGATGGAGAGAAAGATAGGCAACAGAAATCAACACAAGTAATGGTGCTCTTCGAGAAAGAAAGAAACCCATTCCTTTAAGAAGGACCTCTCTGCATTCCAAAGCAGCCCCCCTGGATAAGCAGGACCAGCCGCTGCAGTGCGAACAGATGGAGCCCACCTCACCAGGCGGGCGGGCGTCCCCTCCGCAGGTAACAGTGGAGAGGGGTGTGGGATGGTAGAAAGAAGAAAGGATTTCACTCTTGGTCAGACGCAGTTGAATTTCAATCCTGGCTCTGCTTCTTACACGCTGTGTGGCTTTGGAGTAGTGGCTCCACCCTTCTGGGTTTCAAATGCTCACGTAAAACAGGGATATCACCTCCTACTCCCCAGGGCTCTTTCAAAGGCTTAATAGGACGACTTTTGTAGGGCCCCAAAGGAGAGCACCCAGTAAGTGCCCGTGAACAGAGACTTTTCCTTGTCATCAGAGGATGACACGAATCAAAACACAGAGGTGATACTACAGAACTGAATGGAAAGGTGAAGAATGAATGTGAAAGGCTAGCAAAGTGAAAAACGACCCGAAACGGGCTTGTGGGTGGTAAACCCGGGCACTAATTCCAGTCTTCTCTGCGGGCTGGCTAACAGCCACTCTGACAGGGAGGGCTGGAACGAGGCGGGGCCCAGGGAAGAAACCTCACCATCTTGCAAGAAATGCAAAGAACACTTCCCCTCCATCCTCCCCTCCATCCTCCCCTCCCCGAGAGGGTGGTGGAAGGTGCCCAGAGCCCTGACTGCGTGGCGTGCTCATTCTGGAGAGCCTTGCCAGCCATCTGGAGATTTGGTAAGGAGAGCATGGAGCCATTTACTTCCTTCTCCAAAAGCCTAGTGATTTGGGTCTTGTGAAAAGAACTTCATGTCTCAGGATGGTCTGATGGGCCCTTGAGGTCCCGTATGCCCCATTGTCCCCATTTTAGGGAGACTTTGCTCACAAGGCCTCTTTCTCGACTCCTCCAAAGGTCAGGTCTTCCCAGGGACCTGGGCAAGCAAAGTCACCTTCCGACCTTAGTAGACAT